TTTTAAGATAGTAAATTCTAAGGAAAGGATCAACGTTTTGAAGGAAACTTAGGAAGGGATTAAGGATTGCTGTAAGTGATAAGAAAAAAAGAAGATTTCTTAACTGATTGGCATAATTTAAAGTCAAAAAATGCTGTGTAGGCTTGTGAACAAGAAAAGTAAATGTCAGTTTATCATGTTGATGTCGGCAAAGTAAATTTTTCAATGCCCTCTTGTGACAACAAACATTTCAGCTGTCCTTTATGTTTCTACTACAATTTACAATTTTATAGTACCTTAGAAAACTCATTAACAATGCATGAGGAAAACACAATAGAAATCATGACCATGAARGAGGTTTTATATCTGATATAGATTCRTCTTCATTTGCATAAACTTTAACTTGGATTTTCTCTATCAAACTTGGTTCATTTCGTAAAGAATTCTGTACAATATGAGAACATACATCATGAGTTTTCTAAGCCGTTCAATAAACTCRCAAATCGTGTTTTATCGGGTCTAAAACCACTCGGCTACGCCTCGTGTTTTATACCCRATAAAACACTCYTGCTSGTTTATTAAACRKTACATATATTGTTATTTTCGATCTGAACCTGTAAATATTTTATTATGAAACAAAAAAATCATTAATTTTTATTTAATTTTATAATTGAGATTATTTTTTGGATATCTTAATAAACCCCAAGTCAAATGTTTATTTCAAACAAGATGTTATTTTATTTTTATAGTGACATTGAGGGTTGAAATCTGAATATGATCTCACCTGTAGCAAGAAAAATTTCAAAATACCATTAAAATCATCATAAAAAGGGAGAAAATGGACAACCTAATAGACTTAAATTTAGATTTATGAAGCGATTAACTTAATATGTCTATTCTAAATGCCTTAAGACAAAGATGTAGAAAAAAATCAAAATGCTTGTTATTTTAACATGTTTTCGCAAACGTYCTGACCGACAAATTATTAACAAATGGATATAAAAGACAGGAGAATTTAAACAAAGTAACAGATAACATAATAATGGCACATTACATATACAAGCTCAAAGGCTTTTATCAATAATGAAAGTTGGATTTTWAAAAATGGGCCTAATCTACTTGGGGGTAAATTATATTTTCCCATTTCAGACTAKTTGGCATTCTCTTGAGAATAAGGTATTTTGCTTGAGTCCTATCCATATTCACATGTCTTCTTATGAATCACAACCATCAAACAAAGAAATGATACTCTAAGGAATGACATGTGGCATGAAATACTCTAGGAAAACAATATGCCCAATTCTAGTTTTGTGAGCATAATGCAAATGCATAATGCAATGCTAACAAGTGTGTCACTCTCATTTCATAATTAAATTTGAATTCAGAAATCCATTTATTTGAGAAGGGAGGAAAACCAGTACTTTTAGGAGATCATAAAAAAATTCCAGGAGTTTTCCAGGGTATAAATTTACAAAAAAAATTTAAGGAATTTGAAATTTCCTGTCAGAAATAGTAAAGCAGTTTTCCTTTTTTAGCATTTTCATTGGTTAATAGGAAATTGTTGGAGGCAGTTGGTGGCAATGATGAAGTTTTCCAGGAGTTTTCCAGTGACCTGGAAGAAATTTTCAAAATTCTAGGAGTCTTCCAAGAATTACAGGAGTAGTGCCAACCCAAGTACAGTAAAGATGAGCCAACCAAAAAACAACTCTTATCACGATGCCATGTCTAGTGATCAATCATCTTTAACCAAATAGGTTAAGKCAGTGCATTACAGGAGAATCAAACAACTACTACTGTATGCTCAGTTATAAATCTTGCATAAATAGCTTGCTACTTATTCTAGATARAAAATAATTCCAGATATTAAAAGATTCAAAATCTTTATGAAACTTCTGACGACATCATAATCTTCAATTTTTGACCCCCCACCTAATCACCCTTATGTCCAATAGCTTTTTATTCTAGCCTCCCATACACATAACTGGCAACATCTTATATCGAAGATGAACAGCTCTTCAATATCTCTAAAACAGCCTACCTCTATACAGTTATTGCAGATACTGCAGTGAGAACATCTGGGTGGACGGTAGAACCGGCATGTCTCGCACCACTTCATACGCACTGTTATGCCATTTATGTCTATGTTTTTGTAGAGAGGAGCTTTGAAGTCATCCTCATATTCTGGGTTAGATGGTGCTGCAGGAAGAAAAAAAGATATTTCTAATACATGTACATTTGTACACATGTACAAATAACAGTTATCTCTTTGCTGATGACAATTCACTGACAAATAGACCCGTTTCGAATTCCAAATTACCGCTGTGTTTCTTGATTACAGACTCATTTGCACAGGGTTAGCCTCGAGTTTGTGCAAAATATTCATGTGTTCCAGTCAAGGTCCGTCGAGTTTCAAAGTGTTTGTATTGTTGAAGTTGTGCATTCTTTACTTTACCRTTGGTATTTGTGAATATTTAAACACTGATACGAGGCTAAACCTGTACAAATGAGTCTGTGATCAAGAAACACAGCGGTAATTTGGGATTCGAAACTGGTCTATTGATGGGTTGCAAGCATTCCCCAAAGAGTTAAAAGACAAAAGCATGGTGGCCATTTTGRTACCCTTAGCAATTGATGGCAATAAGAAATCTTTTGTTAAATGGCATCTTGTTTCCTAGAGGCTGTGATGACATAACTTACAATTGAAGAATGCAAATTTTTCTGACGCCTGAAACAACGTATTGGGTTGATTGGAGTCAGGACAAAAGTAGTTAACATGTGAGYCATAATTTATATCTATATTTATAATTATTAATCATTTATGAGATATGTATGATAATTTATATGTTCATATGTCATATTTGATGTAATCCATTGAAAAAGATTCTGCTGAAAGATTAACTACAGTAGCTGAATATGCGACTGAGGATGAAGAATTGATGCTTCAATATTAGAAATGAATTTTGATGGCAAAATATAAAACCTTATCAAAATACTGACAGATAAATATTGTAGCTGAAAACAGCCATAGATGAAGGATTGGTTGTGAGAAGAAAAGTTATTGATAAAAGATGTTTTATCTATAGAAACAATATGTTGAAACAAAGGAAACATTTTTGGAGGCACGATGTTGAGTGACTTGCGATAAAACTTTGAGAGTAATGCCACAGACTATGCCAAATTAAATGAAATCACCCTACGAAATAAAATTATCTAAGTTTCCGTTCACTTTCTTCGAGAGACTTCTCTAGAAAAGTAAAGAAAAGTTGAACAGAAAAAAGTCCAGCGAAAAGAAAAACTGGATGGTAATTAGCTACAGTTCCCAAAGATAAAGTTCTTACAGACAACAAAAGAAAATCGCCAGTTACAGTATTCAAAAATTTAWATTCTTCAAAAGACTCTGTACGTGATTTCCTATCCCTGATAGTGTTGTAGAATAGGCTTACATCTTCCTCGCATTGTGGTCACTCGAGAGTAAAGTATTCATRATAATGATTGAATATTTGCTTTTGTCAAAACAGGAAAAAATCTTTATACTTCTTATGTTTTCTTTTGCCTATAATTTYACATTTATTCTTAGGAAATTTAGTTTTAAAGGAGGCTTATTCAAGAAGTTTAAAAGGAACGCTAGTCATACACAATTCCTTTACGCATTAATGGACATTTTCGATTATTCTCGACACAACTTCAAACCAAGTGAAATATTTTGTGATAGTCCTAATGCAGTGAAAACCGTAAAAACACTAAAAAAAATTATTTTCCATGATAACCTTGATAATATGCCAATAAGAAACAGGGAGGAAAGCATAACTGTAAATTTTAAATGAGTAACGTGTATAGTAAATTATAAATTCTTCGAAAATTATACAAAGAATAAGCTGTGTGTCACATTCTCGCCGACTTTAATTTCTAGAAATCATAGGTAAATAACCGTTGTTTGAGGAAATATACTGACATGTTATACGCAAAGCTCTGTCCTCCATTATAAGGCTTATTCGAAATGTTTTCAGTATCTAAACAAAATAAAATATGCGACTTTTGAGTCGACCAAATAAGCTTAAATTGTCAAAGTAAAGCTTGTCTTACCTCGCGGAACGATGCCCGGATCTTYGAACGTTGCATGCGCGAAATTTGCCAGTACGAAAAATGCAAGTAGTCCTTCGTAGACTGCTATGCCTAATGAGTATTTACTAATAAGAGGTGGACATCTGAAACGAGAAAAATTAAGGGAAAATTATTTTTCATTGATTCTTCACGTTCAAGGGTTCCTATGGACATGACTTAACAAGTGCGGCAAACGCGGCGAAAACTTCGCTCGTAATCAAAATTCTGCTTACACGAATACAAAAAATAACGTCGTCGTGCCGACTAGGAGGATTGTGGCACTAATTATGGGAATTTGCTTCGAGCTCAGRTTCTTTGGAGAGCTAGAATTCGGCATTTTTAGAAGGAAACCATTGAAAATCTTGCCCTTCCCTGTTGTAATGCCGAAAGATATTACTAGGTGAGCATGCGCAGGTGACACTAGGAACGGTGCAACATCCGGCCAGCGGCTGCCAGCGGGATTATTCAATCATAACCAAGCAAACAAACAAAATTGCAGACCACAGGCAGCCCGAGCAAAGTATTTGTGGCGTGTAGCAATTTACAGTAAATGTATGGCACGATAAAAATATGAAATTTTTCAAATAGATTTGAACATACCTTGCTCCTTTGTTTTTGATAATGGCTTTTAACGTCATTCTGAGAGGTTTTTAACTGTTTTAGAGCAGGTTTTGAAAAATTAGCCCACCAGGAACTAAACTATTTGGCTGAAATATGATTTTGTACACTTTTTGATAGGTTATTTCACTTCAGACTCTTGTCGTAAATTACACTGCAAAATGTAACACATTCTTGAATGTACGTCATCTAATTTGCATTTGATATTTCAAATTATATCTCTGAAAAGAAAAGCCATACTGAAAATGCTGCAACCCTACTATTTGGCAATATCGTTTTTAAACGTTAATACCCCCATRCCAATCCCTTTAGCTCATATTCAGAATTAACAGTTATTATAAGTAATCTCTATAACCAAAAAATTAGCGCGGGCGATTAATCCGTGACTGACTGTTTGTAATTATGAGAAATTTCAAGCAACACGACAAGAGTTGTTCGTATTTAGTAGGCTCGTAGCTAGCTCCACTAAGTCATTGAAACTTTTCTTAACTCAAAAATATAGTAACAAAGTCGATAGTTTAGTATTCCATTTTTGAATATAAATGGTTAAAAATTTAACGAAGCTCATCTAGACTAGAACTCATTCCCAATCGGTAAAGCGCGAATGCCTTTGGTTGATCATGCAGCAACTCGTTTCTTATTTGCAGCAATTAGTTTCTTATTTGCAGTAATCAATAGAACATAGATATTTATAAAATTTATGCTTTGTTGCAGCAATATGACTCACTACAAAATACTGTAATTGGGATGTCATGCAGTAAAGCAGTCGTTTCTTATCATGCTATAGGAACATATAGCAATTAGTTTCTTTTTTGCAACTATTTGGATGTTTTGCGGCCAATCTGATTGATTGATATTCAAAAATTAGAATTCGTAAGGCAATGATTTGCAATTTCTGTTAACAGGAATCAGAAAACAATTATTTTCCAGTTTTCTAAATCATTKTGTTTGATAATTTCTGTTTACTTAAAATTCACATTAAAAAATACTTAATTTACAGCTTCAAAGATGCTTTAAACGTATGCAAAATCGTCATGGTTTAGAGCAGTTCACACATCCAGTGAAAGGACCTTTTCATAATCGAAAAAATCCTTTYAACTCCATTACACCATGACTATTTCACATCCACTGAAAGGACAATCTTCATAATCGAAAAGATCCTTTCACTGGATGTGAACTACTATAGGCCATGAATATTTCACATCCATTGAAAGGACCATCTTAATAATCGAAAAGGTCCTTTCACTGGATGTGAACTCCATAAGACCATGACTATTTCACATCCACTGAAAGGACCATCTTAATAATCAAAAAGGTCCTTTCACTGGATGTGAACTCCATAAGACTATGACTATTTCACATCCACTGAAAGGAGCATCTTCATAATCAAAAAGGTCCTTTCAGTGGATGTGAACTGCTTTAGGCCATGAATATTACACATCCATTGAAAGGAGCATCTTTATCATAGTCGGAAAGGTCCTTTCACTGGATGTGAACTGCTTTAGACCATGACTATTTCACACACATTGAAAGGACCATTTTTTTATCACGGTCCTTTCAATGGATTTYAACTCCTGACCATTAGACCGTGACTATTTAACATTTGAAGGACTTTCTCATAACCGAAAAGTTTTAGTTATGGCCAATCTGATCATTTAATTTCTGATATCCAAAAATCAGAAATCGCGAGCAAATGATGTAAGATTTCCGTTTTCTTTTTATTTTCATATCAGTGTGCTTTCTTGAATAAACTAATTTACTTTCCTTTTTTCAATATCATATAGTGTGCGATATAGTTAATGACCTTAATTTATAGCTTGAGTGTAATGTTTTCCCATTTCAAACCATGTGTCATTCTCTTAAGAATGAGATTCTTTGTTTGAGTTGTATCAATATTCATGTGTCTTCTCATGGCCTCTGTTAGAATAAAAAATCTAGTTTTCTAATAAATAACATGTCGGGAGCAAAATGCTGAAAAGCTGCTCTGCTACCATACATTCTCTTATGAATCCCTTTCAAAGTCAAGGGAAGGAATACTTCCAGAAAACTTAGCATTTCTCAGGCTCTACATAAGTTACGGCCGTAAACTAAAATGTTTCTACAACTCTAAACTTCTAGCATTCTCTCCAGATACATAGTTTTGGGTCACAACAGCAAGCGTACGGAAGAGGATGAAGCAGGGCTAGGGTTGCGCCTACAACCCCGCTTTGTCTGCGATCTTTTTTGTTGCCAAGGGGGCAGGACATCCACGTAGGGGTGGGTGAAAAAAAACGTTGCTCTTTTTACACCTCAAAAATACTGGATTGTAAGTAAAAGCACTGTTAAAAAGGGTGTCTAATTTTGAAGAATTAGATAGCAAGTTAGTAACAAAATGTTCAAAAAAGCTACTCTGCTACCATCCATTCTCTTATCAATCYCTTTCAAAGGCACACGAGGAACACTTCAAGAAAACCTTCTTGCATTTCTCAGGCTGTAYATAAGTTACGGTACTAAACTAAAAACAACTTAAAACATCTGGCATCCTACATTGTTTGGTCATAGCATGCGTACGGAAGAGGATCAAGAAAGGTTTAGGTTGCGCCTATTACCCTTTGTCTGCCATCTTTTTAGTCGCAAAAAAGTAGCCTTCGTAGGGGTTGGGAAAAATTCAAAATTGCTATATTTGCATCTTAAAAATACTGATTGCAAAAGAAAACATTGTTGAAATTGATCAAAAAATCTAATTCTGTAGTAGATAGCAAGCAGGGAACTAGTACTAGAAACTATTCCGCTATCATATAATCTCTTATGAATCTTTTTCAAAGGGAAGACATACTTTATTTAAAAAACATGGTAAAGTGATGGATGGAAGAGGATGACAAGTGATTTTGACGTGGACTGTTGTCCATCCAAGGGCACTAGAACACCGAATGTGGTTGGATTTCTATAGCGTTCTATAGTGTCTATGAGCGTTACTTCTTTAACGGCCGTTCCGTAATCCAACCACATTCGGTGTCCTAGTGCCCTTGGTCCATCCAAAGTTATGTAGTTGTATAAAGGCCTACCCCCTAGGGGGTAGTGAAAAATATTACGTAGCCTTTATTCCAGATGGAAATTTCTAGTTCCAAATCAATCACATATCGAATACGTTAACGAAAATTTGGTTTGGCAGTGAACTTYAAGTCGAGAAAGAAATTCTCAAAATCCCTGTTGTGTACTTTACATTATCTTATAAAGGCCTTTTGCTGAACAAACCCGCAAGCATCGGAGAACGTCGTTAAGTTCTCTGGCTGTAAATAWGCTGTGAAGGTTAATCGTTTTTGAAAGTCTAACGCCCTTCACAGCAATATACTTTGCTGCTATCTAGCAGATCTTGATGTGGACTGTTGGTCATCCACAGCCATGTTGTTGCACAAAGGCCTACCCCAGGGGGTGTCAAATATATAAGATAGCTCTTTTTCAGCTGTAAATTTCTAGTTGAAAATCATTGACTTATCTGATACCGTCAAGAAAATTCGGTTTTGAAGTGAAAACCAAGTTGCAAAAGAAAATTTAAGAAAGCCTGTTGTTCACATGAACCATACATTGTCAAAAAAGAGACTTTCCCTGAATCAGGTAGCTCTGGTCGWAGAGAATCTTTAATTTCTATGACTGTACATAAGCTACGACCAGAAACTAAAATGTTTCATACACTTTGGACCTCTGCCTAGATGAGGATGACGCCAGATTTTGATGTGGAGTACAGGCTTTTGTCAGCGGGGTGCCTCCAGATTTTGATATAAAGTACCGGCCTTTGTCAGCGATTTTGCAGGATTTAGGCCTACAMCCAGAGGTGTGTGAAAAATACTAGATAGCCCTCCTCAATCTTGATATTGCTTCATGAAAATCGATCCCTTTTCAAATATCGTAAACAAAATTTGGTTTTGCATCGTTTTCCAAATATCAAGTGGCTAAAAAAATGTTTTAAATCTCATTTAAATACATTCTCTTATAAAAGCCTTTCTCAAAATTAAAAACTTTCTCTGTTCGGTAAGGGTCTTGATTTCCCCAATCACTTATCCCATACGGTCAAGAAAATTCAGTTTTGCAGTTGAAATCAAGTCGCAAAAGAAATTGTCAATGTTCCTGTTGTGTTTAAATACATTCCCTTATAACAGCCTTTCACTGATTATGCGCGCACTCTTAGGAGAACATCTACAATCCCACCCCCTGATATAAATAAGCTGAGAGCTCCAAATACAACTTTTCATCTACTTTGGAGCTCTGCCTACCAGCGCATTAAGATAGTTTTCTCATATCGTGCAGGAAACAAGAGGATGACAGATTTGGACATCCACTATACACCATCTGCAGCCATTTTCTTGAACACAGACCTACCCAATAAGGAAATAGGAAAAAACTACATACCTGTATTTTAGCTGGAAATTTCTTGTTGAACATTATTCCTATATCGAATACGGTCAAGAAAATTCGATTTTCCAGATCAAATCAAGTAGCGAAAGAAATTGTCAAAGTTCCTGTTGTGTCTACATACATTCCCTTATAAGAGCCTTTCGCTGAATAAGCGCGCACTCTTCGAAGAAAATCCTTAATTTCTCAGCCTGTACATAAGCTGCGAGCTCCAATTAAAAACTTTCAACGACTTTGGAGCTCTGGCTACAAGAGCATGTAGATAGTTTTCTTCTATCGTGAATGATGGAAGAGGATGGAGGCAGAATTTAATGAGGAGTATGGACCATCCACAGCCATGTTGTTAGACACATCCATTCACCCAGGGGGGTGTGAAAAATGCTAGATAGCTGTATTTCAGCTGGAAATCTTTTGTTGAACATTATTGCCCTATCGAATAAGGTCAAGAAAATTCAATTTTCCAGATCAAATCAAGTTACGAAAGAAATTATCAAAGTTCCTGTTGTGTCTACATACATTCCCTTATAAGAGCCTTTCGCTGAATAAGCGCGCACTCTTCGAAAAAAATCCTTAATTTCTCAGCCTGTACATAAGCTGCGAGCTCCAAATAAAAAGTTTCAACAACTTTAAAGCTCTGGCTACTTGCGCATGTAGATAGTTTTCTCATATCGTGCAGCATAGAAGAGGATGACGGCAGATTTGGTGGTGGAGTGTAGACCATCCACCGCCATTTTGTTGAACACAGCCCTACCCTCTAGAGGTATGTGAAAAATACTAGATAGCAGTGTTGCAGCTGGAAATTTCTTGTTGAACATTATTGCCCTATCGAATACGGTGAAGAAAATTCGGTTTTCCAGATGAAATCAAGTTGCGAAAGAAATTGTCAAAGTTCCTGTTGTACATACATTCACTTATAAGAGCCTTTCGCTGAATAAGCGCGCATTCATCGGAGAACACCTTTAATTTCTCAGGCTGCACATAAGCTGCGAGCTCCAAATAAAAAGTTTCAACTACTTTAGMGCCCTGGCTAMCTGCGTATGTATTTAGTTTTCTCATATGATGCAGGATGGAAGRGGATGACGGCAGATTTGGAGGTGGAGTGTAGACCATCCACCGCCATATTGTTGAACACAKCCCTACTCTCTAAGTGTATGTGAAAAATACTAGATAGCAGTGTTGCAGCTGGAAATTTCTTGTTGAACCATTATTCCCCTATCGAATACGGTGAAGATAATTCGGTTTTGCAGTTCAAATGAAGTCGGCAAAGAAATTGTCAAACTCCCTGTTGTGTTTACATACATTCCCTTATATATTCCACTATCATTATAAAAATATTTAGACGGCGTTTGAAAGAACTTCATTGCTTGTACTCTTTACAGTATTTTTTTCTTTTATTTCTCATTAATATTACTTATTTTTTACTTCCTAATGCATTTTAAATTTTTTTCAAGCCATGTGCCTTGCTACATTTTCAAGTGTTCACGTTTAACGGCCGAAGCTTATTTTTTCTAAAATGGGTTATTCAATGATTGTATTAAAAAATTGTAACACAAAACTGGTAATATAACTCGTCGATAAAAGAATAACTGATTATATACAAATTTACTTTTCATTGAAAAAATAACTATAAATTAAAGTTTCTTTCGAAGCGTAGCTTGAAAGAAAACAAGTTTTGTACTATATTTTCAACTCACCTGTAGCAGAAAGTTCAAGATATATAGCTTCTAATTTCATTTATCCTTTTTCCATATCGCCAGGAAAAAATTTGTGTCATAAGAATTGTAAACAAGGAGCAAATTATTTTTTTCTGTCAGAAAATTTACCACTCCAATGTGAACGTGAACCGTTGCATTCAAAAGCAACACGTCGAACGAAACCAAACAAAGTGCTATCTTTACCATCAATCAAATGCTTTAAGCCAATCCGGCACGCACGGTAATTCTGAGCCGACAATAAGAGTTCATATTGGCGGCTCTCTCCCGGTCAAACTTTATAYCAGGAAAATCAGTATAATGATGAATATCAAAGCACCAGATGTATTCGCCAGCTACTGGCTATAAGGCAGTTCTTCGATATTCCTTTCGTACACAGTTTATCAATTAATTTTTTTGCTAAAGCCGGATTCAGTTGGAGGTTTATACTATTTCTGCATTCTCTCGCTTTTTCGTTCAACTTCAAATCTTCATTTGGTCGTCGTAACTGTCTATCATTAATATCACTCTTCTCCCTTCTTCATCTTTGAACTCTGTACGTCTACACGGCATCGTCTGTTCGGCTCTGACTTTGCCTAATGACCTTTTCAGAGTCTCTGATGATTCTAACAGATCTTCTAAATATGGAATCTTGCAGTGAGCCACCAAAACCAATATCTACGTCTTGCGTTAATGATCCTTTCACCAACCATTCTCGTCGCCTGGTTTTGGAAATTCTGGATGGGCTYTCTTTGTCCCCCCACACGTGCGAATCATCACTGGTTTTTTCTCCATCATACATGTAAGGGACCGTTCATTATTTATCTGGGGGAGGGGCTGGGTGAGAAAAGGAGGGGCCTCAAAATTTTTCATGTACAAATTAAAAGGAGGGGACCTAGAATTTTTTCATGGCTTTACCGCCATTTGCATTGCTACGCGACCACCCCAGACAAAAATCGCGACGTGTACTTTGCAATAGACTGCCGTCAATCGAACACGTTGACTTCTTGCGTTTGGATCGGCCCGGTAGGCCCGGTGAGTGTGGCTCATAATAATTGTAAACAATCGACAAGTTTTGGCGCCTTTTGAATCACACACGCGTGTAAATGATGTCAACGTGTTTGATTGGCGGCAGTCTATTGCAAAGTGCTAGTCGCGATTTTTGTCTGGGGTGGCCGCGTAGCAATGCAAATGGTGGTAAGGGAGGGGACTTGAAATTTCAGGTGAAGGACTACGGATAGTGGAAGGGGTCCTTTTCCAATTCCTCACCCAGCCCCCTCCCCCAGTTGAATAATGAGCGGTCCCTAATCTCTTTAAATCTATAAAACAAGCTTTAAAACAAGCACATTAAAATAATTGTTAACTGGAACAATGGAAAATAAGAAACTATTTTCCAGATAATCTTCTCGACTAGCATTCTTCACATTCTTTGCATGCCTAAATTATCTGAGCCCGCAAAGTTTGTGGTCTGGGGCATGTCATAGAAAATTACACTGACCGACATGATATTTTTTCACCAGAATCCGTAAAAGGATTAATTTTTTAAAGACTTTTCTTTTTTTGGATTTTTCCCAGCATGTACGAAAACGGTATCTGTAGTCTTGACTGATGCTTTTGTGGGTTTTTTATATTTTTACATGTTGATTCTTTGAACGAAGAAAGTCAAAAACTACTGAAGTGAGGAGATAATCTGAAAACATAGTACTTTGAAAAATGTAATTTCTGTATTTATGTCGCTTTGAATCTTGCAATCATCGCCTGATACTCATAAAGTAACTTTACCATGAGTAAGGAGCCAGGCGAGCTTCAAAAATTTCTCCTAGAATGGAAAAAAGAGCTTGATATCTCGCGGAAAGGATTGAATGGAAAGTCAATAGACAAGGAAGAAAAGAGCTCGACTGAATGGAAAGAAGTTTGTTTGATTACCCAAGAAGAAAAGGATAGAGAAAAAGCTAAAAGTGAATTTGAAGGAACAGCCGGATTCTTTTTATCGAACCATGGCAATGAGAAGAAATCCACTAGCGAAGATTCGAAGGATCCTAAGGATTTAGTGCTTTTGAACTTACCAAATCCAGAGGTGAAAGAACAAGAAAAGAATAATAAAAGTCATGCTAAGAAGCAAAAAATTGACAAGAAAGCAGATGAAAATTTATTAGAGCTATTGATTGCTGACATCGATGAAATTACTGTGATTCCTTTTTTTGATCTACAGTTGCCAAGAGAGATTGGTTTAAACATTTTTACACACCTGACTATACGAGATCTTTGCCACTGTGCATCAGTCAGCAAATCATGGAGAAATTTAGCTGAAGATGGATTACTGTGGTTCAGCTTGGGTGTTAAGTTGGGTTTTGTTGATGGCAAGACTGCTGGGATCTTAGACCATGTAGACTGGAAAGAGTTTGTTCATAAAGCAGTAGTACAAGAAAGACAGCTGAGAAGTAGATGGAAAGAAAGAATCTGTAGAATAGATGCCTTGGAATATGAAAGGGGTGAGAAATAACAAAGTTAAAAGGAGCCTCTATATTTATTAATATAGTCTCCTATGAAGCGGCTATTAATGATGACACTATTAATAGTGGCTGCATACAACACTAATAAAAATATTAACCCTTTCACTACAAGAGTGGCCAAATGCAGCCAAATGGAAATGCAACATTTTTCCCAGAGCAGCAAAAAGTGGCCAGTGGAAAGACATTTTTGATTTTCAATTACCCATGGCCACCCTAGGACATTTCTATGTGTTGAAACATGTGGGTTTTTGTCTTTTGGATCATTACCCAATCAGATTTTATCAACTGCTTTGATGTGTGTCATAAGGCCCTAATATATACTGAGCATATGTTTTTGATTTTGATATTATTTGAGAAATAAGAAACACCCTTTTTATGTTCCAAGTCTGTGTTGGACCCTTTTAGCCTCTAGTAGTGACAGGGTTAAAATAGGGACAGAAATTTAGTAGAATAAGAAAGAAAATCTAAATGATGTTTTCCCATTTCAGATTCGCATGTCATTTTCTTGAGAATGAGTCTCTTTGTCCAAGTTGTTTTCAATAATAATGTCTCAAACAAAAAGAGAATGACACAATCTGAAATAGTAAAAAAAATATAGGTCRGGACAACTTATAATTGAGTTTTAAGAGGAGTGTGAAGAGAGGAGTGGTGAAAGAGAAAATCAAAAAGGAGGTTTAAATTTTGTGCAATAGTCCCCTTCACAGTTCCCTGCACCATCTTCAAAGGTAGCCATACCTTTGCATATAAGTGAGAGGAAGGGTGAGCTTGCAATGATTGAGATGATGTTAATAATTAAAGGACGTGTTAAAAAAGGTCTCTATCATTGCAGGCTGACCGTTTGTCTTGCTTCGATGCAAGAGCACAGCTACCTTTCAAGATGGAGCAGGGAACTGTGAAGGGGACTATTTTAGTAGAGAGTAACTCTGTCCAATATTCTGGGAGAGTCACAGTAAAAATCAACATGTTTTGAGTTTTAATATTTCATCTCCCCAGCTCCTCGATACACCCACACATATAAACTCCTGCTAATTTTAACTGACCCTTGGGGCTATGTAAATTTTCATAAAACTCTTTTGTTTTGACAGGAGGAAGTCTCTGTGCTATGTCCAAGTGTAATAACCTGTTATGTGCTGGTTATTCATCCAATGCTGTTCTCTTATGGGATATAAAGGAGGACCAAAGAGCGACATTTAAAATATTGGAAAGGTTTTCTGATGGGCTGCCGCAGCAGCAGCAATCTTACCCAACGTGTACTGCAGTTACTGACAAACTTTGTGCCGCTGGATTTTCAGATGGTATGTACTGTACCATGATTTTCCAGTCATACTACCTCCTATATGAAGCGAAATTAAACTTGTAAGGATAGACCTACTGTATTTAACTTTGAATGCAAATTGCCCATTTTAGATCACATGATCCCTTGAGAACTGTTCTTTTATAACAAACATGTTAAAATAATTACACATGAAAGAATCAACTACCAAAAGTGGCATCACATGGTCTGATATCTCATACAACACTTGTGTGCTTTTTTAGTACTTCCTTTTTTTCTCATTATCATATTGTATCATGTTAGGGAATCTAAATCTGTGGCATAACACTCTCTCCACCTCACCTCTTTATCATTGTCACTTGGAAGGGTCTGTTAGGACCATAGCTTTAGCTACAAAGAATGAACCAACATGCATTGCGGCATCTAGTCATGAAATGAGGATTGATGTTGCAGATGTTAACGGTCAGTGGCATTGTCATGAACAAAAAACATTTGAAACCCAGGTAAGGTTCTGAGCAATACACCTTTTTGGTTTAGCTGTATTCACTATTTCYTCACATTTCACACCATTTTTCATCCCCTTGATAGTTAAAAATTCCTTGTTCGAGATACAGACACTAGTGGTAGGGAGGGGGCCCATTTAGGGGGGAGGGGGCAAGCAAAAGTTTGCTTTCAGTATCAAAATTGAAACATTGCCCCCCCCCCCTATAATTGATAGATCACTACGTCCCTGGATAAAGAGTTTATCAGATGTTAAGAACATCATGTCATTTTTATTCACAAGTGAAATATCATTTCATGAACAAGTGAGTCAGCGAGCAATGATATGATATGGAAGACAAGACGTTACATGTAACAATAATTTGTTTACTACACATTTAGGGTTGATAAGAAAACAAAACTTACTGTTTCCAGTTTACCTTGAATTGATATCTTTTCACATTGCTAATATGATTTTTAATTCATGGGTTTAGCAGACTCATATTCAACCTGAATAAATCTCCTTATTATCCAACTATTCAAATTAGAGTACAAATAATGCAGGAGAAAGCCTGGAGTGAGTTGAAATATCTTGCAAGATTTGTACTCTACAGTAAGTTATTTTGTACAGTAAAAAAAAGGTTTTGAAAACTAGTTTTTTTATAATATAAAAATATTTGTTTTGAATTCTTTTTTAGGGAAAAAGTAACCTTAGTTGGATAATAAATAACTTACCTATGAAGCTCAACAAAATAGAGTACCGTATCCAACTGTATTCCACCCTTAAAAGTCTAATAAGCATAGACAGAAGAGACTGGGGTGAAAGCCCCCCCCCCCACTATTTACAAGAATTACATTTTTATGTTATCTAATTTTTGGGTGAGTGGGATAAGAAGAGGAAGGGAAGGAATGTAGCCCCCACTTTAAAAACTATTCCTGTATCCCTGATAAGATCTATATATTCTTGTGCCTTCTCATACAACACCATTAAAAAAAGAAGTGATACACTTGGGAATGGCGATGATCTGAAATGACAAAACATTATATCATATCATATCATTTTATTTCATATCATATCATATATCATATCATATCATATCATATC